TCCCTCTCCTGGACTGCTCGCCTCGTGCCCCGGAGCAGCTGTTATTTGGATTTCCTTCCGGAACCGGTGATCAACAGGTCATGACGCCACGCGGGGCGTTATTCAACTGCGGGCCGCGGAGACATGTTGAAGATTGGCTGAAGACTGAAGAACAATTCCAATTTGTTGCACTTTCTCCTGGTTCATCTCTTAATCTCTCCTTGCAATCCCTGCACAATTGTACTCATTATTTATATTTTTGAATAGTAGTTTCTTGTTCGTTAATACTGTCTAGGAAATGTCTTTTTAGAAGAGCCACATTTTTGCACTATCTCTCAAAATACGGTTGCGTGTAGTGCGCTAAAGAAGTCACAAATGAAACGTAGGTCTCAAAACTTGTAATAAAAATTAGAAAAGTATACATATTTCAGAGTGATTTCACGAACATTTGAATATTATTATTATTATTATTATTATTATTATTATTATTATTATTATTATTACTAGATTTCGTTTTTATCATTGTAATAAACAGTTGGGTTATGCGCACGCAGTTGCATAACTTACAATGATGGTTTCAAGATTGTCTCCAAGGAGAGCATAGAGGACTGTAAATAAAGTATGTTTAATTATAATATGTAGTTCTTGAAAAAGATTGCTTACATACTTCACATTGCTACGTATTTTTTTAATTTTTTTACTACTCTTAACAATAAATATATTTAATTCGTGTGAAATGAAGTGTTTCCAATGCTGGATCTGGTTTTAATTCAATCCATTTATGTAGAAACATCAATCTATTTATTGATAAATGTTGAAGATTTGTGTAACATGCTAAGTTTGAAGAGTTTTTAAAATTAATTAATGTTCACAATTGCGTTATATTTATGAAATATACAATTGTAGGTAATTTTATTAGTTATACCTAGTATCTTTCATGCATATATTGAAATAACTAAGGATTTTCGTTTTGTAAGAAATTGGAAATTTGTACTCAACCAAATTTCATGATTTTTGTTTAAATGAAAGATAATGGGCTCAATATGTGTTAGAGCGTGATATTATTCAAAGGTTTAGAATAAAAATACCGTATTTTAATAAAATTGTAAAATTAATAGAATGAATGCTTTTCTGTAAATTTTTGTCCGTTGCGGCGTTTTCAGAACCTATTACACTTCATATAATTTATCTTAGTCGGTCTGTTTTGCAAGTTCCAATGAAGCTATCGAAAGAAGCTGTGTTTCGTCGCCAGTGTGTTTTTAGTTTATTGATTGATGAGCGGTTTTAAATGCTAACGCCAGTGAATGTGTGTCAACGCAACTTCCAGCAATCGTCTGACATGTGCCCGAACAAAAAATGTTTAGAGATTATAATTAGGTTTTTAAGTTGCAGTGGTTATTTTGTAAGATTTTCTGTCATAGTTTCCTACATATACTTGAACAGATCATGGTAAACAAAAAAATTTCAATTTAGTTTTCAGAAAGGTGTTAATGAAACTTTTGTGTTCTTAATGAGTAGTGATTATATTATTCTAGAATTTCTTTCGAGTCTTGGAATGTAATAAAAAAAGACCTTAGTCTTAAAAAAATACCACTGAACGACATGAAACGTATTTTTGAGGCTTTTGGTTTTTCGTATCGGGCGTTCGTAGCACTTTTCTGTTGTAACTTTATTACATGCTTTTCTTTTTTTCGATGTTATCGCACGGGTTCGGGTAATACCTATCAATCCTATCAAGTTTTAAATAGGGCCTAATTTTATGAAATGGATATTCTTTAAATATTTTTTCGAGACACTCGGGAACTGTCTTTTATATTACTTTAGGGTAATTAGACCAACCGGCTTACAGTGAGAATTACAAACATTAAATATTCGCTTGGGAAATTATTCGAATTTATTTTCTTTCGTATTTTAAATTAAGCAGAGTTACTTTCGAAAGGCATGTATAATACTGTGATGAAGTAAATATAACTAGCGGTACACCTTATCTCAAAACAGAAATTTATTTCAGATGATGTTGGAAAATTAAAAGTCAGTGACCTTGTCATTCAGTAATATTTTTTTATTAATTTCTAAATCCAAGACGACTTATGTTATTGCTTGTGAAGACTGGAATAAAACAAAATCACAAGATTTGAAACTTGTAATCGACAAGTAAGAGAGTGTTGAAACTACTAATAGTGAGTGATAGCATGTAGTCTTATAGGAGAAATATATCGTAAATACCTGTGATGTTCAAACCTATTCTTGATGGGCTCATATTGGTCAGTGCACAAAAAAGTAACACATCACCAAAATGTCAGTCTTGAGTTAAATAAGGAAACATAATTCCAAACTATATCGTGAGTGACATTATCATGAAGATAGTTCACAAAACAGCCGGTAAGACATTGTCATGCGACATGAAATTAATGACTACACTTAAATTAAAACCAGTAATCCGCAAAAATTTCGCCTTTTAAAACGTGCCACTTTCTTTGGAGACTGACGAGTTATGATGAGGAAAATTGTGGTGGTGATAAAATGGTGGGCGTAGGAGGAAAGAGGACTATTTAGGGTATTAATACAATCAGTGCCCGATTAGAGCTTACATAACGCGTTTAAATCACTTTATTGCAAATGGAAGTTACATAATGAAATAACTCCAGAAAAACAAGAAAGCACAGCTCCTCCTTCCGGGTTTCGTGACTTGCTGCAAGCCCGTCGGCGATGGATCCTCATCTCGCCCTGCAACACTGCATTCTGCAAACTTTTGCCTGCATCTGCTGCTGTCGAGGAGTTTCACAGCAATGGTTCTCACAGTACCTCGCAATCTCGGTATATGGCCGGCCTTCGCAGAAAACAGAACAATAAAATGTATAATACACTTTATGAATTAAGATGTTAAAAGAATAATGTGGTAAAATTGTTAGAGAAGATCAGTTATCTTATAACAGACTAGGAAAGTTCATATGCGATTCAATAAAGTAAACTTGCATTACACGTTGATATAGACTAATTAAATTGACATTGAAGAGAAAAGTCACATTACTCTCTGAATGTGTATAGAAGAAAGTGTTGTAACCGCGCTCCTTTGCCTCTTAATTTAATTTACCTATTCATAAAAAAATAACTATAAAATTTACTTATTACTTATTTCAATTGTGGATCTGCGTATACTACAATACTATTATCAACTTTATTGTCCTTGTAGTGTCTTTCGAAATAGTATTGTCCTTTAAAATAATAAATTCTAGTTCTTACACAGTACATAAGTAATTTATTAACATTTTTAATGTCGTAAATTATTTTAATTCAATGGAAAACTCAAGTGGAGGAGTGACTTCAGTCTTCCCAACACACACCGATGACACATTCCAAATAGATTTTTATTAATTTTTTATTGCATTTGATGTCATTTAATATTTCAGTTGAATTAATAATAATTAAAAGCTACAAATATGAGAGAATTAAAATTCTGCACAAAAGAACACATAAAGTCCTCCAGTCACTTCATCGACAACCCTGCTCTTTGATAAATCTTCATTGCGCTTCTGTTTAAATACATTTTCATAATACCCCACTTGTTGCAACGGGTATATGAAAATAATTTTTTCCTTCAAATTCAAACAAGACAAATTTAACGAAACCCTTTCTTAATCCTGAAAAAATTACGCATCCCCACTCGTGACCGCATGAACACTACCATTCTGCCTCTCCTCCTTTTATTTCTCACATCTCATATTCTTATTTGATTAAGAAGGATTTTAAATCAAATATCTTTGAATCAATGCCCTACTTCATTAGTATCATTCGTATATCCAGCGCGTATATTCATGTCAGTACCATTTATTAATTCACCTTTTTTCAACTCATTGGCGCTACTGAATAAGCTGTTAATTCGAGAGGACTAAATTTTACAGATGACGAACATACAACTATCTTCTTATCCTGTGAATATTTGAACTAATCTTCTACGAAAATGTACAGCCAAGAAAGAATATTTAGTTTTAACCAATGATTTTAAATCGTTGTTATAATGTTAATAATTTGAATACATACTTAACTGTAGTATATTTCTAGAATTTTAATGCGATAAATTAACTGATCATGATAGAATTTATGATTTTATAAAATTTGCGAGTTTTTTTGTGAATACCAAATGCCCATTTCTCAGCAACAAGAAGGAATTCATACAATCTTATTACAACCAAATGTAAAAAAGATTAATGGTAGTGTACTGATTCGCCATATTCATTGGGATCAATAATTTTACTTTACTCTATTTACATGTTCGTCATTACATATATATTAAAAATTCACGATTTCAATACTAATTTAGAAGAATATCTTATTGAAATGTTGAAATTCACAATCCATTTATTTGAAGTTCAAAAAACGTCTGTAATAAAATAACAAGCTCTTATTTCTGTTGCCTCCAGTTAGCCTGTTTTGGGCATTTTTTGGGTAAAAACAATTGGGTACAAACAAATACCAAACCAATAAATCTACTTTCAAAAAATAAGTAAGCGGAAGTTATTCTATTTTAATTAATTAATGCTGGTGATTTATGTTTATATTGACCAACGTTTTACTTTTTTTTGTAGTTTTATTCAAATGATGTTGGGGGGAAACTTGAAATATTCGTTAGAATATGAGTTAGCCTTGGAATAACGAGAATCGAGCTCCAACTATCCGGAACCCCGACAGGCTGCCTGCCGTCCGCCTTGGCCTACATGGGCGGGGCGGGTCCGTTTAGTGCATGAGTTGCGTTTCAACGAAAGAAACGGTTTTCTTGTAGGGTTCTTGGTCGTAAATGTCAGCGCGAGTCTCAAGTCGAACAGTTGAGTTGCCAGAGCGTTCATTGTGCGCATGCGACAGTTTATTTGACTGACGGATGTTATTTACCAATCCGCTGTCACGGAGGGTTCATTCTCCACACTTGGCTCGTCTCGCTCGACGGCTATTCGGTTTATGAATATGAACTCGGAGATTGATATTCGGAATGTTGGTCGCTATACTATTGAGAACGATCTCTGTTCTTTTCAATTACGGTTCTTCTTTAGCGCCTTTTATTAGGAAGTTCAGGATGCACTCAATAAATTCTAATGAGTGTAAGTTGGATTTATTGAAGCGTCCTAAATGCTACATTTTTTACGAGAGTTGTGTGTGATGTCTTCAAGAAAATAATTACAGAATGAAATTTTGCCATTGATAAGTAAACAGAAAATTATGTCAGATATGAATGCGCCTGAGGAAATTCTTAAGTGTTAATAACTTATTCCTTCAAAATTCCCGGTGCACATTTTGATTTGTGTTCATCACTTGTGCAAATAAACAGCTGAAGATACTAACATACGGTATTTGATACACTATTAGATGTTATTATTATTAGTATTATTATTATTATTATTATTGTTGTTGTTGTTGTTGTTGTTGTTGTTGTTGTTGTTATGTGTTTTAAGCAATCACAGAGACTTTGTTAAATCATTACAATTCATTTTAACGTAGGAATAGTTTGTAAATGTGAATTAGGACGTCAGGGGAAAGTAAATAATTTTGATATTTATGAGAGATTTACAAAGATTTTAAAGTCAGAAAAACGAAAATCATCATCTGAGTCAGTTCTACTTACTTCTTTTTAAATACAGATAAATTTTCTTGCCATTATCTTAAAGTGAAGTGTGACAAAATAAAGCACTATTTGTTATCGCTTTTAGCATAGT